TTATCCTTTATGTGCTGTGCAGATGACTGATATCAAGCTGTGATGTTAGCCTTATTTGATGCCTGGGGCTCAATAATTTGTAAATATAATGCCAATCCACTACAAATGACAACTAATGAGAGTTTGTAAGAAAAAAAAACAGGTGAAAATGAGTAAGAAATATAGAAAAAGACAATAAATGAGGTATTAAACCAATGTATCCAACCCCATATAGACAAATTAGAGGGTTGGAACCAAACTCATAATCAGTGCCTTAGTGACTTTTCTCATTGAGACATTCTAATGGGGCATTTATCATGTTTTTCCTGGGTTTTAATGCAGATTTAACATGTCCTCCTTAAGGTCAAAAGCCAGATCTAACAAGTAGGTTTCAATTTCCAGTGGCATTTGAAAAGAACAATAGAAATAATTTGATTGTGGAAAAAAAAAAAAAACATTGAAATACATTTCTAACAATAGTAGCCAAATTAGAGCATAGCAGGGTGATTCAGATGTGGGGGATTTTTGGGTTTATTCAATTGCTTAAGATGTTGACTCATCTTGTGTGGAAAACATTTTTTTTACTTATAATACACAGTTTTCCCATTTTTTTTACACATTTACTAAAAGTAAAAAAGCTAGCCGGATTTTGACAACTTTTCTTCACAGAATGGAAAAATGTAATGAAAATCTGCTTTTTTTGCAGAGGGATCTGACGTTTTGGCATTCAAAAATATCCCCTTCACATGCACCTAACATAATGAATATGATGGTAGTGACTGTAGCACATCTTCAGTGTGGCAGTTGGATCATTTCTTCACTCTAGAGGCTGAGGTAAAAAAGCTGAAGCAATGTTGAGTGCATTACTGGAGAGCATGGACAGGTATGTTCACACTTGGCCTACATACTGCAAGTGAGAGACTTCCCCAAAGCTAACACTCCTTCTTCACTTGCTGCAGGATTGTACTATATGAGCTTCTCCTGAGGGTCAAGAAATGGTGCTGCAGCAATGCAGCAGCCATGTTCTAACTGGGACTCCTGCCTGCTGTTTGATGGCTGCAGCATATGTTTGTATGCAAAATGAGAGCTGAGCTAAAAGGTGCAATAAGAACGATCCCATCACTGCACTGCACTTTACCCCTCCCTGACAGGAAGTTAAGGTCAGGGGAAATGAAGTGTAAAAACACATAAGGGAGGACCATCAGAGGAGCATGTTCACAAGTTTCTCTATATTCAGAGTTAATGGGATGAAATTCCAACTACACAAAAAAGGAAAAGTGGGTTTTAAAAGACGGGTCAAAGGCAAATAAACACAAAATGAATCAGTCTCTGTATTGCAAAAATCCATGGGGCACATGACGGGCTGAAGAGCAAGAAAGGACGGTGCTTGTTGGCTCAGTGACCGAAAAGTAAAGGTACAAAAATATTGATTACTCTGACATGTATCTCACTGCATAAACAGATTCTGTCAAGGAAATATCCTCCACTGGATCAACTGTGCAGGTTCTGAAACATGAACTGCTCTCTGTGACCAAGTAGAGGGGTAAGAAAACAAAAAACACCATGCATCAAACTGTAGACTATTCCCACAGCTGCCTCACAGCTCAGACTGCACGCTCTGTGTGGAATACAACATGCAATGTTATTGACACTCAAAGCTGATTCTACATCCTTTGCAGCCTCTTGCCTTCAGGTAGATTAAAAGTGGCCTCTGTGTATTTACAGGAGCTGTGGGACCAAAACTATGGCGACGGTAGTAATGCAAGCAGCTCAGCTGAACCTGTCTTTATGATGCATGTCCAGCTGTGATGCATGTTTAGATCTTTATATGATTTAGCACAAGTGTGACTCGTGTATTTTATGTCTCTGAGGCAGTTAGAAAGTCTGTCCTGTCCACAGCAGAGGGAGGGGGACAGGTTTGTTTTGATAGAGGATCTGCTTCTCCCATTTTCCAAGTCAATCAGTCAGAAAGATACACTGATATCTTTTGCTGTGGTGATTTATTGAAGGCTAAGAGTGGCCCAGGCAAAGCTTTATGACTCTACACGGACGTAGCCCTCCAGAGATTCAACATCAGTGGTTTGTGTTAATGCCAGGTTAGCGACCATGTTTCCTCGGTTGGGAGAAAAACAACTTCTTTAAAAACACTGCTTGTTTATGTCAGAAAAAAACATAAATGATAAAAAATGTTGACCTACCCTTGATCAAAGAGTTTTTCAAACATTATGCCTCGTTTATGAATCATTTTGTGTTAGGAAAGGAAAATGGAAACATTTGTTTGGTTAAAAAAATGTCATAGGAAATGTGTGATAAATACACACTCCGAGTTTACTTTTAAGGAAATATATTTTAGTAGTTATAGTAAATAAATTGATTGTGGTTCGGTATTTACATAAATTATGGAGCAAAAAAAGATGATTATCTTACATATAAATTATTTTAGATGTATGCTATCACTAAACATTAAATTACACCCGATTCTCATTTGTTTGAGTTGTCCAAGCATTGGTTTATTTATTCCAATAAAATATGATTGAACCTCAGGCCAAACGAAAATTTCTCCAAGCATCCTCCTGCTAGTAAATATTATTATTTAAACTCATATAGCCACATTTCATTAACTGAAGTCGACTATGATTAGATATTTATATGATCTTGTCAAATGTACTGATCCGTGGTCAACGCTGAACATCCACAGCAATGGCGTAACTATCGGTAAGCAGAGTATGCAGTTGCTTAGGGGCCCCCGACCTCTTTGGGGCCCTGTCACTGACACCTGGTAGGCCCCCTACGCAAAGATCAATGCTGCAGTTCTCTTCCCAAACAGTAGGAGTCACCACTGACAACATAATGTTACTGCACCAAAGGAAATGGGATTTTACTATGATTTAAGAGAAAACTTGCCATCCCGAGGTTCTTCATTAGACCAAAACATAAAATTATTACTGAAAATCAATTTACTACAGGAATTAAATTCAAGATATACGCCTCATACAGTATAATATAGATTCATTAACACAGTGAAATATTCTAAATGTCGATTTTTTATTTTTTATTTTGATTAGTTATGACCAATGAAAAAATCTTTTTGATCAGGAAATATGTTACATCTGTGTTAGGATTGTTGACTTAGCATGGGTGGTTCTTGACAGGGGCAAGTGCCCCTTTAGAACTGGTTCCGGCCCTTGTTAAGGCCCCTGTACTGGAGACGAGAGCTACGTCCACCCTAATCACTATATATAGCACTACTGTATGTTAGGGTTACGCCATTTTATATGAGTGTCTGACCGTCTGGTGGATGAAAAAGTAGTGAACTTTGGCCCAATGCACTTTAAATAGTAGTGATCATCCATGATCACTAGACAAGCAGATATATTCTAGATTTGTTGTGGCAACGACAAATAAAGAAAATGGTGCAGGCACCGTGCTGGGAGGCGGAAAGACGTGACAGTCTGAGAACAAAAAGAAGTGATCATCTGTCTGAACGGTCAGTTAACTAAGTTCACTACAACGTTCACTATATAGTCCCTGCTCTATATAGTGATTGAGGGATTTAGGGGTTAGAGCGGACTTTCAGACACGGCCATAATACTAAGAAAAAAAAATCTAATGGTATAAATAGGAACAGACTTGGTGACTGAGAGTTCCCTTGGAATCATTTCACTTTTTATCTTTACAATCCTGTTTAAATTTTAGATTTTCATTTTTTTTTATTCAAGGTGACAGATTCAGCTATAATAATATAGGATTCCATAAAATGGTTATTATTGGAAAGTTAATTGGAGGGACAAAAGTGTGGTGAAAATGATTGACAGCACGAAGAATAACCACAACTTTAAGAGGAATTTAAAGAAAAGAAACATTTGGGAAATGCAGTAATTCCCTTAGCAGGTTTTTAATGTATTGAGGCTGGAACATTTCTAAATGTTATTTCCTCTTTGCCTTGTGATATTTTGTTTTTATCTAAGAGAATTTTAGGTTTCTTGGCTATAATGGATAATTATAAAACATAATAGATATACACACTTTACTTTGTGTATTTAGGATGTAGCCTAAACTGCACATATAAAGGAAACTATTGATTCCAACCCATAGGACCAAATCCTCCTCAGTCTTGCCCTGCTAATTAGGAAGGCTTTTTCTATTTCTTCATAAAATAGACAGACTCCAAACCATTGAGTTTGGTGTAGTCAGTAGAAGATAGATCATCCTTTCAGTTGATTCAGGTGGGTTTCGTCAGTGTGAGAGAGGTGTGTATTGATAAAGCTTATTGTTAGAGTGGCTCAGGTTATCCTCAGCTATCTGTATAGATATGCTGCTATAGGCTTAGGCTGCTGGAGGACATAGGGACCCCCATTTCATCATTCTATCTTTATTCTCCCTATCTCCCATCTCTAACATGATGCTCTCTCTGCTTTTTTTTAATAGTAGCTTCGCTTCGTCTGTTCCTGTTTGACTGTGACACCATCCTGGAGAGAAATATCAGCTGGTCTGCTGCCATCAACACCCTTGTTTACAGATGTTGGAGATCGGCATGTTTTCCAGTGTCCTGTTTCTCTGAGAGTGACTGGATGTGCACTCTTCATCCACTGACATGGGAGCTGGCTCAGAGCTCGTCTGCCTGGCTGTGTGTTTCCTGGACGGGGCCGCCTTTAACAGCTGCGTTTTGTATCTCTGCTTCTGTCTCCTTGAACCCCGATGGCTGCTCACACTGAGCCTGGTTCTGCTGGAGGTTTCTTCATGTTAAAAGGGAGTTTTTCTCTCCACTGTCGCTACAAGCATGCTTAGTGTGAGGGATTGCATTGGATGCAATCAACTGGTTTTCCTTAGATAGAAAACTTTGATTAAATCTGACTGTATGATCTGGTGAACTGTAAACTGCCTTGATATGACGTGATGTGAATTGGCGCTATATAAATAAACTGAATTGAATTGTATAGACAGTAGAAACAGACTAAACAAGGAGTATTCTTTGCTTTGACATTGACCGGCTTTCTGCCGCATGTGCGTCTCTCTCTCACCTTTGAGCAGGGGCAGCGGGGTGAGCTCCACCTGGGAGCTCTGGTATCGGAACTGGGAAGAGCTGTGGGACCTCCTCTGTCGCGCTCTGCGCATAGACCTGCGCGGAAAGCCGTCCACCTTCTCCGCGGACGGCACCGAGAAGCTGGTGGTGGGCGAGGAGGGGCTGGAGGGGGGCAGCTTGGTGGTTTCCATGGCGGCTGCAGATGTGGAGCGCGTAAAAGTGGCGCTCAAGGAGGACGGACGGACGGATGGAGTGGGTGGCTTTGTGAATCACAGATGGGATAATCAGTTGATTAGGATGAATAGGCGCTGAAGGGGTGGTGTAAAGAGGAGCAGAGGTAGGTGAAGAGGAGGGGGTGGGGGTGAAGAGGAGGGGAATGGGGGGGGGGGGGGGGGGGGATATTTCTGGAGGTCCTGTCCTGGTTTGCGCCTCTATGAGAGCCGCATTGATGGCAACATCCCTTGAACCTCCTGGTTGGTTTTGCAGATGTAAAATGGCTTGTGGATCATTCCAAGTGATGCTGAGACGCACTCTGCTGCTGTGCTGGCGTCACACAGGCTCGGCCTAAATATGGATGTTCATTCAAGATAATACAGCCCGATTTTAAAAAAATAATAATAATCCCAGATAAATGAACAGATTCCAAAGCAGTTTGCTGTTTATCCTCTTTAAATGGGATCAGTGTCCGGTCCTGGCGGTGGATGATGATATCATAAAATCATCAATCTGGGCCCACCTTGGCTGCCGCATCACTGGTGTCCTTCTCTCTTGTTTTTATCGCATCTCCCGGTTGTCTCAACCCTCGCGCCTGGTAATATGGGAATAGAACTGGCTCCTTAAAGCTTGGCGATTGTCCCTTTCTCCTCCACCTCCTCCTCCTCCTGCCACCGTTATCAGGGCGGAGGAACAAACGGAGCCGACATGTGCAGGTCCTCCTCAGCTGAGGCGCGCTCCGCTTCCACCTCCAAATGAGGAGGAACCAGACAAAGAGAGAGGGGAGGCAGCAGCTCCTTGTAGAGAAAAGCAAACCCTCTAAACCTGCGGTATGTGGGCTACAACAACATCAGGTCTTTATGTATAAACATATGCGGCTGTCGGACTGATCCGTCCTGTTGTCGTCCTCCTTCTCGGTTCCCGTTATCCGGTTATTACAGCGCCTTGGAGATTTGCGTCAAAGCGCACAAGACCACAGGAAGTGATCCAGTCGGCCTTTTCAAATTAAACCCAAGTTCATCAATACATTTTATTTTTTGTTTGTTTGTTTGTTTTGGATGACTTAACTTTTTTTCTTTCATTGCAAAAAAGAACATACATAGAACAGTAATAATTACAAACATAAAGGGCTTTACAGAACAGAACTATTATTTTAAATGTCAAAATCAAATCAAATCTATGCTTCAGTGTTATAATTCTTTAAGGGCAGTTATAATTTGCATGGCTTTAGCATTTGAACTAAATTTAAGGATTCTATATAGATATTAATCATGGGCGGTTCTAGACAGGGGCCAACAGGGGCCAGTGCCCCTGTAGATCATGTCCTAAAAAGAATGTCCTTAAAATAATCTAAAAATAAACAAAATTTATTCAAATAAGTGTTTTTTTCCCTTAATCGGGTTATGAATATAGTCTGCCATAGGAGTGGGTGTTTTTCCCTTTAAAATAAGGTTAGGGCTGCAACTGACAACTATTTTGCAAATCGATTAATCTGTCAATTCTTTTTTCAATTAACTGATTAGTAGCCAAATGTTCCTAAAAGAACTTGAGGAGTTCTGGATAGAGCACATTGACAGATAAAAACGTTTTTTTTTTATCTTAAATGCTAAATGTTTGCACATTTTTTAAACAATTTTGGTATAACTGCTGCTCAAGGTAGGTTTCTCTGTCAGCTAAAGGCATGTTTCACAGTCTCTCTACTCCAGTTAAGGATTGGTCGATCACTTAATTAGTTTACGAGTATTTCAATAATCGATTAATCATGATTAATCTGATGATTTTTTTTTTTGCCCTAAATAAGGTAATTAAATATATAGGCACTTAAAATAACATAATAAAGTTAAATTGTTTCTTATTTTAAACATTCATAAATCATATTAGTCCATTGGAAATTGTCTCAAATCAGCTTAAATTGAGGGAAAGTACACTTATTTCAAGAAAAAAATTACTGTTATGTAAACTTTTGCATTGTGTTTTTTCATAACAGAATATTATAACAGGACCACTGGCCCCTGTAGGCCCCTGTCTAGAACTGCCCATGGAGGGGACGGTTTGATCGGAGCAATGAACTGTGTCGTTTTTGCCATACATAGCAATTTGATTGTGGGTAAAACATTTTTTAAGTTTGTTGTCAGACTAAAAAGTGCAGATTTCTATGTGGACAGAATGGAGAAAAAAGTTTTTCCCACTATCACACAATAGCACACTATTTTGTATTGATCTATTAAAATGAAATATAAATGCTTTAATCAAAGTTTGAGGCTTTAACAATTTACCAATCACTGTTATATGAATTGCAATCTCTTTGTTGAACATATAAGAATATACTTTGTTATTTATACAAGCTCATATTTCAAAATGTATCTTATTTTGATGTCATATTCATTAGGCTATACACAATAAATAGATTGTGTATAGATTAAAGAGGAAAAAATAACGCTGTTCATAAAATAACAAAATTAAAATAGAGCATTAGTGTCTGTACAAATTATGTGGTTTTAATTTGAAACTGATAAATGGAGATGAACATTTTCCAGCTGCATTAACTGATCTTGCTTTATTTTGAAAGCTTTAACCGGAAGCGCCCTCGACCCACTATCGAAGACTTGACTTATTTTAAAGCCGAAAGGTGGTGCAAGACGAGAGAGAAAGACTTCTCACTGCAGATGACGCTACGGCACTGATTTATTTATTTATTTATATGCCTTATTTATTTTAGGTATATGGTGAGATTTTAATTGAGGTCAGGAGAAAATTAGTGGCTTTCCTAATAGCTGTCTGCAGAAAAGCTGCAACACCAGTTTGATTTGGTCTTAAATGATATCTCCATCTGACCTCCAGCAGCTCTTTGACGTCCATCGATGTCTTAATCCCATCCCTTCACCCCCTCTCCTTCCCTCCGCCCAATAAGGTTGTAAGTTGAGTATCAAGCCGCCTCCTATTGTTCTCAATGAAACCGTCAAATGCGCAGATATCCTGCTGCTCTCATCTGATCTCTTTCTTTTTTATTCATATTTTCTTTTACTCTCTCTCTTTCTGCCATATAAGCAATACTAACTTCAGTGCTGAATGAGTAATAGTTGGATAAGAGTCAAATATTGCATACAGACCATAGGCATATATATCTATTTATTATTATTATTTGTTTGTTTTTGTAGTATCAGCAGTATTGACATGTCAATGTCGGTGCTACCATCTGCATAGTTTGACTTAAAGCCATCAAACTAGTCAAGAAAACAATTACACTCTAAATATTTTAACACACTTTAGGATTTATATAATTTATTAAAGATAACTGAAGTCTTTTCTTATTAAATAAACCTTAATAATGAATAATCCTGAGTTTAATATAGCTTATTTATTTGAAATACATTATCAGGTTTATGTATTTAGAACTAATAAAGTATACTTACTCAAAATTAAAAGTAATGAGTGTATTTATTTCAAATACATTGTTTGAAATTTGCTATTGTTTGAATTGCAAAATGATCAGCTTACCTTCATGCAGGGGCGGATCTAGAAAATATTTATGGGGTGGCAAGAGGGGGGCAGGAATTTTTTAGGGGTGGCAACATATGGCATTGTTTACACTGAATTTAATCACAGTTATCACAGTTTGGTGAGAATAGTATGTACAGTACTAGT